ATTTATTTATGCAAGTTTGCTGAAACAGAATTTAGAGTATTAGAGCAAACAGTTAGTTTAAATAAAAGGAACATAGTAGAAATGTTAGTGATAAAATGATTACCTAATATGCAGAAATCGTTTTTTACTTGTTTGCATGGTTATATGATTGATGAAGATACTCAAGGTAATCGTATAATATCTTTAGTCAAAATTATTCTCAATAAATATTCAAAGATACGATTGCATCACAAAGCTGACTCGATCAACGATTTGCGACATAATAAACGTATGCGAAGTGTATTAACAAAGCAAATTTTATTTTCGAATCAATAAGAAGTTATTTTGTATATTAATGTAATGTTTAATAAAGCTTATAAAATTGTGTTAACTGTTACGTTTTCTGTTTTTAGAAATCTTAGAATGCATTAAAAGTTGATACAAGTAAAAAAAAAGTAAGTTTAATATTTTTTTTTTAAATAAATATTATACTTAACTTTTTTAAATAATATTAAACTTATTATAAAAAATTATAGATTTAACGTTTTCTTAAAGCTTTATTTATTTATACCGTGTTTTGTTTTGCCCAAACGTGACGTCACGCGCTAAAAGATATTCCTTCAAAATATTTAACTTACAGCGTGTCTATCAGTTTATATGGTCGTAGGTTTTGATAGAATCAAAAAAGGTTTTAATATTATCTTTTAATTTTTTTAAATTATAAAAATAGAAAGAAAGAAAATATATTTATGAATCTTTTAAGAATCTTAAAAGGTTACTAATAAGAAATAGATTTCATAAGATTCTCGTGACTTAATCTTTTGTTTTTTTAAATGATGACATATTTGTTAACATTTAAATAATATGCTAAAAACATTTTTTACTAAGATCTTAGTTATTAATGTAAAAATAATGGCAATAATCAAATTATTTTTGTATAAGATATTAAAGTTGTTTTTTTATTCTTATTGCTGTATTGGCATTTCAAATGTTTGGTTTATTTAATACTTTTTATTAAAAAAGTATAACATTTCAAATGTTCAATTTATTTAAAGAGGAAGACGTTTTAAATGTCCTCTTAATTAAATATATCAAAGATTTGAAGTATCATACAGTATAAGTATTAAAAAAAAATGTTTTTTTCATAATTTATTTATAATAATTTAGATTATATTAATAGTTTAGAAGATCCTCTTCGTTCAATCGAAACTGACAATGGCACTATTACAACAAATAAAAACATAATTTGCTCCAGTAGAGCAAATTATGTTTTTATTTGTTGTAATAGTGACAGATTTATTGTAATAGTGACAAAGACAGACTGAAAATAGTTGTTGAGGGTGGAGCAAGCTCCACCCTCAATAACTACTTTTAGTCTGTCTTTGAAACTGAACCTGATGGCAGTATGCCAACATTTCCCGATCATACTCAATCAACATGTAAAACTAATGAAAATTGGTTCACAATTGAAGACATTCAAAGTCATCTAAGCAATCTTGAAGAGACTAAATCAATTGGTGTAGATGGAATCCACCCACATGTATTACGCCACTGTGCAGCAGCATTTGCAATACCGCTCAACTCTTTTTTTAGACAATCTTTATTGTCTGGTTCTGTAACTGAATATTGGGAAAAATCAAACATTACTCCCATCTTTAAGAAAGGGAGCAAGCGTAAGGCCTACAATTATCGACCGGTCTCCCTCAATACCGTGCAAAGTAATGGAAAAAAAAATTCACAAACATATTATGGCACACTGTGTGGAAAACAATCTAATCTCGAAGCATCAGCATTGTTTTATTTGTAAAAAGGGATGTCTGACTAACCTCCTCGAAGCTCGCGACATACTTACCGAGGCTATGCATCAAGGTTACAGTACTGATATTATCTACACAGATTTTGCTAAGGCATTCGATAAAGTCCCGCACAAACGTCTTCTACATAAACTAAAAGCATACGGCATTCACAAAAAGTTGCTACTTTGGATTAAAATGTCGCTAAAAGATCGTAAGCAATGTGTTGTCTTGAGAGACCACGTTTCTGAGTGAAAGAACGTCACAAGTGGAGTTCCGCAGGGTTCTGTTTTGGGGGCACTGATTTTTATTTTATTTATAAACGATCTTCCTGATAGTATGATCCACAAAATAATGCTATGCGCTGATGACAGCAAAATTATTGGGATCATAAAGTCGGCATCGGATAACACAATGCTTCAGGCAGATACTGAAAACGCGGTTACATGGTCACTTTAACACTGATAAATATAAAATTATGCATGCAGGTTGTCCTAATAAACATTTATCACATGACTACTCTATGGAAACCGCTGATGGCATGCTCCACACTATTGCAACTACAACTATTGAATGTGACCTTGGAGTTCTCATATCAAACAATCTGAAAGTCAGAGCACTAGTTGAAAAAGCAGCATCCACAACCAATCGCATGTTAGGAAAACTAAAAAATGCTTTCCGCAGTAGAAACTTAAACTTGTAGCGCACACTCTATATATCTTATGTCCAGCCAAATGTGGAATTCGCCATTTAAGCCTGGTCCCTGTATCTCGAAACAGACATTAAGTTGCTTGAGGATGTTCAAGACCGCGTCACTAAGACAATATAATCTATCAGCCATTTTGATAAAACAAAGCGTCTGCAGGTACTCAAACTAACTACCCTCAAAGAACGTTGTTTGCGTGGTGATATAATTGAGCAATTCAAAATTTTCAACAACTATGACGAAGTTCATTTTACGGTCTTACAGCACCAACTAATTGGGCGTAAGGTGTACAGCAGCTTGATTGTCAATTCTTAAGAGGATGTGATGAAAAATCAAACTTTTTCACAAACCGAGTTGCGGTCCATTGGAACTCTCTCACACAGCACGTGGTAAACGCTCCATCTTTAAATGCATTTAGAAGATCGGATTTCGATAAACTGTTAAATCAAAGATCGGATTTCGATAAACTGTTAAATCAGCATAGAGACTCCTCGAAAAGTCTCTTCATAAAATTAATAATTTAAGATTTAAAGATATACATACGTATATGTATAAATTTTTTAGTTATTGTCACGATACTATTGCGGTTTAAATGTATAAATTTGATTACTGAATACACCAAACTCAAACTCATATAGCTATTACAAGATATATTATTAAAGGTATCGATAATGTATATGTTGCATTGAAGTTGTTAGAAGCTGATATTTTACATTTTAAGTATGTCTTTTTTGTTTCACTTTTTATGTGTTTGATTGTGAAACCCCGTCTACTAATATATTAAAACAGTGAACAAAATGTTATGTTACTAGAGTTTATATTCTACTTATGTAGAGCTTTCTAATATTGCCAGACATTTTATTTTAAGACCAATGACTTGTCTATATAGATTGATTTATGAGAGTAAATCAATCAATAATCATTAAAAAAAATTAAAATAAAAAAACTTAATTTAAATTATTATTTTTATTAGTCTGATTTGAATCATGATTTAAATCGAAACAACCCTTTATATTCCATCTTTATGAGGCATTATTCTTGATTTTATTATTTTTTAATTTAATATCTCTGGATATAATTCATGTTTAGTGTGCGTACAAAATTAACTTTAATTATAACTTAATTATTAATTATTTGATTTATATATATATATATATATATATATATATATATATATATATATATATATATATATATATATATATACATCATCCTTACCTTCTTTAAGTCCCTGTCTGATTAGAACAGAATATACATAATATAAAATAAAAAATTATGAAAAAAACGTTTTTTTTAACATGTTTATCTTTAAGACGTGTATTTTATGTATTTTTTTACATGATTATATGAAAATTATTATTGTAACTGTTTAATCAGCAAAACAAAAGTATATAATAATAATAATAATAATAATAATAATAATAATAATAATAATATAATAGCAATACAAGAATAAATTTAGCAGAAGGCTAAAATTTTTCTCTGGAGACAAAAAAAGGAAGACAGCAAAAATGACTAGCCAAAATTTTTTTTTTTTTTTTTTTTTTTAAATTTATTTATTTTGTCATTAAATGAATAATCTTTTACAATGTTTCTTTACAACATAAAAATTATAACATTAAAGTTTCGACCGGAGCTGGCAGAAAACATGATCTTATCATCCATCCCCGTTAATGTAACTAAAAAATTCAGCCGATAAAAATGAAAAAGGAAAAAAGAAACTAAAGCAAGAACTGATTTTAAGAAGAAAAGAACTTAAAAATCAAATTATTATTTACAGAAAGAGAAAAAAAAAAAAAAATGATTTCTTCTCATTATTATTATTTTTTTTAATTCTCTATTTTATTCTACTTTTATTTTTATTATACACGCACGCACACACACATACGCACACGTACACACAAATATATGTCCGTTCATATATACATACAAATCAAATAAATCTGTATTACATTCTATCTACAAATTGCGTAAGATTTAATAAATATTGCGTTTACAAATTATGTTATTATTGTAAAATAAAATAATATCATACATGTTCTAAGTACCATAAAATATAATTGTGATGTTGAGTCAATTTATAAGACATTAAATAACTAAGATTTCCAAAAGTTTTTAATAATACGATAGTAATTGCTTTGTGTCAAAATCAAATAAGTGTTGTTTTGTTGCACGTTTACAATGTTGAGTTGAATTAAAAGTTTTTATATTACTTGTTAAAAGCAAGTTTCATAACTCGGCAAGATATCGAAAAATCAGCTTGTTTTGATAATGTTTTTGGTATAATAAAATTATTTGTTGAGTATTTAGTTTCGTATTTGTGGTTTAAAAAAAAAAATAAGTTTGGAAAATGCTTGGTAGCATACCATTTTTAAACTTAAACATGAAAATAAGTATATTAAGAATATTTATTTCATAGACATTAGGCACTCCAATTTCTCTTAGTAGTGGTCTGGCACTAGCGTATTTATTTGCATTTAATATCAAGCGAATTGCTCGTTTTTGTATTTTGTAGATCATATTTAACTTTGAAGGATAAGTACTTGCCCAGATAATGTTGCAGTAGCTGATGTAGCTATGAATAAATGCAAAATAAATATTTTTTAAACAATTTGTTTTTAGGAGATGTTTTGTTTTATACATAATACCAATAATTTTTGATATCTTGTTTTCTATTACTTTGATATGATTACTTCAGCTAAGATGTTCATTAAGAATTACGTCTAAAAATTTGATTGAGTATTCTTGTTTAAGTTTAGATATAAATAATAAACATTAAAGAGACAAAAAATTGTGTTTATCTTGGTGTAGATAATTTATCCTCAATTTCTTATAATAAAACAAAAAATATTATTAAAATTTGGGGTTTACCTTTAATTCTAAGCTATTTACAGAAGTTCAATGTTTGATCTGAGAAGTTGAATGAAAAAAATTTATAAATGGTAAGTTTTTATATAAAAGTCTTTATTTCTGATAATTGCAAATCTTTATTCATAGCTTTAACTTTTACAATTTTGAAGACTTTTTTCATATATTACGGTCAAAAATTCAGAGTGTTAATTTAAATTTTATTGTATAATAATTAACATATCAAAGCCTACACCACAGGCTTCGTCGGGAAGCGGGAGCGATTGCTCCCGAATACTGACCACCGAAATTTTATTTAGTTGCAAAACACTGGCCCGGTTTTTTAGTCAGTTAAGTTTATGAATATAACAAATATTTTTTGTTGGATTTTAAAGTTGGTGTGACCAACTTTGAAATCCATTTTTTTTATTTTTTTATTATTATTAATAACTAGCTGTCATGACCCGTAAAATACGGGTCTTTAGGATATTGATGCACACTTTATCCGCGTGCTTACAGTTCATAAGAACTATTATCCGGTTTATAACGCAAGAAAATCTCAATCAAATGAAAACATCTAAATGAAAATTTTAATGTCCTAGATACGAAGATTAAACTTATTGATTGCGTAAACACTAACTTTAACATAAATGGCATTTGCGAGACACTTCTTGCAACTTATGTCAAAATTTAATGGTGACTCTAAAATCCTAAAGGATAGGGGGGAGACGCTTTTTTTGAGAAAATATTTATACCCACTCCAAACTTACCAAGCCACACCAACCCTCGTTTATTAATCTTTACTTATCAGGTCTCCTTAAAAATAACAATTGAAAATATTTGAAAATAACAATTAAAAATATTTGAAAATTTTTTTTTTAAAAATTAACAATTGAAAATATTTGAAAAATTTTCCCTTAAATTTTAAAATGTTTTAATTAAAACTGAGAAAATTGTTTTTATTTCAATAAGTGATAAAAACAGAAACTTTCAGCGTAGAATCAGTTTTAAAAGTCATCGACCAAGTAAATCTGGATTTGTCGAAAATGGGCTTTATTTCTCACTAAATCTAAATTTTATTTTAGCATCACTATAATTTTTATTAGCATTTTCACTATTAGCTCACTAAAATTTATATTAACATTTTAAATTTCAAATATTTAAATTAAAAAAGATTTTTAAAAATGTTGATTTGACTTTGAGCCACGTTTTAACTAAATTGCGTTATGGTGCTTTGTAAAAAGTATTAGTTGTAATTTTATATTCAACTTACATTCCTACCCCATTTCATATATTAGATTTGGACTAAAATTCTTACCCTTTTTGAAAAAAACTACAGTAAAAAGAGGATTTTAATCATTTATTAAACTATATCAAACTTACGAAGCAAAAAAACGCTTTACTTGTTCCGTAACAAAAACTTGTTTTTAGCACAAATTAGTGACAAAATTTTGCAAGCAAAAATCAAGGGGAGAGGGTGTTAAGAAATGGTGTTAAGAAAATAAAAACTATCGTTATCGTTGTTGCTTTTTATAGCTATATTACTATTAAGCCAGAATTGTAAAATCGAGGAAAAAGAAATCTTTATTTAACTTAAAAATTTCAAATGTTTTATGTAAAAGTTTTAAAATTTTTAAAAATGTTTTTATAAACAAATATAAACAACAAAATTTTTTTTGTGAATATATTTGATTTAATGTTAAAGACTTCACAACTTGGTTCGTTGCAAAACCACTTCACTGATTCGAAATAGACAGTCTAAAAGAAACAACTACGTAGTTATTATTACAATATTTATTAACAATCAACGAATGAAATGTAATTCCAAAAAAAAAGTAATTAAGGTAATTACAGATTATGGTAAAAAAATTTTTAAAAGATATAACTTTCTTTGACATAATATTTGGTTCGTAGAAGGTCGTATATTTATTTGGAACCCAAAAGTAAAGTTAATTTTTATAACAATTAAACTAAAATTTAAAATCAAATATAAGCAAAATAAATTTATTAAACTAATTTTTCTTAGCTCTTAGTGAATGATTAAAAGTAATTAGTCTCAGTAATGAAACTATCTAATATTCATTTTTAACAACAGACACCAACGTGAAGGTGAGCTAAGGAGTCTGTCAAAAAAATATTTGTGCTTTTCTATTAACATATGAAGCACATCTCTTTAATACTGTCATTTCATGTAATTGTCAATTGTCAACTGTTTTTTTATAAGTAACAAAGAATGGCTTTGCAGTAAAAATATCCAGTATCAAAGACTGTTTTTTTTTCCCAGTATCAAAGACTGGTTTTTTGACCAGTATCAAAGACTGGTTTTTTAACCAGTATCAAAGACTGGTTTTTTAACCAGTATCAAAGACTGGTTTTTTCCCAGTATCAAAGACTGGTTTTTATTGCAGTATCAAAGACTGTTTTTTAACCAGTATCAAAGACTGTTTTTTAACCAGTATCAAAGACTGGTTTTCTAACCAGTATCAAAGACTGGTTTTCTAACCAGTATCAAAGACTGGTTTCTGGCTTAGCAACAACAAAAACAGTAAGTCAAAAACAAAATTGGCTGTGTTGTTATTTGTCAAAATGTATTGTCTCTAGTAGTAAAAAAAAAAGTAATAATTTATTAATTAAGTACATTTGTAAATACAACATTTTGGGTGTAAAATTTGTTTAATGACATACCTTGTAATGAATGTTTATCAACTTTAAAAAATAAACTATTAAACGATCTTGTTCTTGAACATGCAACATATAATTGACCGTGTGAAAAGCAAGGCTTTTTAAGATAAACTCCAACTTTGTCAAAAGTTTGACCTTGACTTTTGTTTATGGTCATTGAGTATGCTAACCTAACTGGAAACTGACGACGTTTGAGTATAAAGGGTAAATTTGAATCCGATGGAGCTAATTGAACTCGAGGAACTAAGATCCTGTTACCAGCTGCTACCCCTGTTAGAGCCTGTCCATCAATATAATTGTTGTGCAGTGCACGTACCATCAAACGCGTTCCATTACAAAGTCCGCCTTTAAGATCTAACTTTCTAAGTAGCATTACAACAGCACCAATTTTTAATTTTAGGCAATGAACAGGCATACCTGATGGAGTCAAACTATTTAAAAACTCGACTGGAAAATTATAAATTTCATTATGATCATCAGTTTCAATGCTATCTGAACTTAAGTAAATTTTAGTATCACCAGGTAAACGATCAAGGACTTCTTCATTTATTGCCAATGAATCAACATTTGTTGGTGTTAAAATAGCACAATTAGCATAATCAGCTTCCTCTGTGCCACCAAAAATCTTTTCCACAATAGATTCATTATCGTTTACAAAGCACTGCTCAGGTATTTCAATATACCCTCGCAAAGGATCTTCAGGCTTGACAGGTAAAGTTCCACTTCCAAGCTTTAGAAGCCATTGAGAAAATTCCTCTTCTCCTATCTGAACCCTCATATTTTCAGTTAATGAAAACCTTCGCACATACTGCCAATGTTCAGAACATTTTAAACATGATTCTACAACTTCAGCTGGTCGACCTCTTTTCACAACTGGAAGTATTTGTCTAAAGTCTCCACCCATAAGAATAACTTTACCACCAAAAGGAAAGTTATTATTACAAATATCTTGTAATAACTTATCAATGGCACTTAAAGCATGTTTAGGAATCATAGATGCTTCATCAAGTAAAAACAAACTTACTTGTCTAAGGAATTCACCATGAATAGAATTTGGAGTTACATTACATGTGTTATTTTCCAAAATTGGCACAGGAAGTTTGAATAAACCATGCAGTGTGCATCCATTTTTAAGAAGAGTTGCAGCTATTCCTGTCCATGCAGCTGTTGCAGTTCTAATATGTCTGATGCGTGTTTCAGTGATTAAATAATTGTAAGTAAATGTTTTACCACAACCAGCAGGCCCATCCATAAAAAACAATCTTGAATGCTTATTTTCATTATTAGGTTCTTCATTAAGTGCAGCAAGGATTGCATCAGCTACATTACGCTGACTATCATTTAATAATGGTCTAATTCGATTTGCTTCATCAATAAATACCTGTACATCTTCATCGTCATTTTCTGGGATAGAACCTAAAAACTGATCTAAAGTAGGCAATTTATAATCAGCTAAAGTTTTACCACTCTGATTAATTATAGATTCGATTTGACAAAGTGCTACTTGTTCAGCAAGTAGGATTGGCATTGAACGGTGTATGTAATCCTCCACCATATAATCTTTAAAGGTATTCCATAGGTGTAACGGATCATCAGGTTGACATAATGTTAATATGATGGAAAACAGTTGCCTAATTTGTTTAGGCAATCCAGTTGCAACAGCCTCAGTTAATGTATTTCTCCATTCAATGTCATCTTGCAACAGACCTAACTGATAACACGCTTCACGAAATGTATTAAAAACAGTGCCATTCACAGTGCGCAAATTCTCGTAAGATAATGCACCTTTTACATGCAAAAGCAACAATCTAAGAAAAAATACTTCACTGGATAGATTGACTTTATACATTCGCACTATCACCATATCACTACCTCTTTGTCTTACTTTCCACTTGCAATTTTTACCGTCAAACACAAAGTGATATGGAATTTCAATATAAGAATAGCGACGTGCTTCAAAATTTTCAGCATTTAATTTAAACCAAGCAGTTAGGTGAGTGTCACGCTGTGCTGCACGATTAATAGCTACTTGTTCTTCTCCCTCATTAAAATATACTATCAGATTATCAGGAAGGTGCACTTGAAGGCGAATAATGGTATGTGACATATCACTTATGGAATACTCATATATTCGCCAAAGAGCCTCTGGTGCAGAAACAAAGGGTACAACCCAACAATTTGGGTACAACCCAACTATTTGGGTACAACCCAACGATTATCAACTTGGTTACCTTTTATAACAACTACTCTACCATTATCTAAACGCCTATAGTGTGGATAGCCATTGAAAGTTGCAACAGTATAAAGATTGAAATCTTTAGGAAAACCTTTTGTGCAAACCCCATCCTTCATGCACGATGAATTGGGATTTAAAATTCCGCATGGTCCATGAATCATACATGTTTTTACAATTTCAAAAAGTTCAGGATCAACAGTTTGATCTGGAATTTCATCTGATATTAAACTATCAATATCTTCTGCTGTTTCTAGCTTATCGTTATTTACAAAGTGTAATAAAATATGTACATGTGGCAAACCACGTTTTTGAAACTCAATAACCTGTACATGACTTATAACTTTGCCTAAAACACCTTTTTTAAAAATATCTTCTAAGAAGCATTTAAGTTTCATTTTAAATACACGACTAACTAAATCAGGTCTGTCACTTGCACATTCACCTGGATTTAAATTTTCTGTAATTTCTCTCTATTTTGGATTACAGGTAAAAGTAATAAAAAGATCTGGTTTGCCGTATTTCTTTATAATTGCCATTGCATCCTCAAAATTTTCTTTTAAAGCTCTTGGGCTTCCAACATATGAAGATGGCAGTACAACAATACGCCCTGGTCTTATGTCATGACTATTTGCAAAGTTGTTTACATGTTCATGTAATGTATCATATTGTTCACTTCTAAGTTTGCTTTGGTTATTTCTGATGAAGGCAAGGCGTTGTCCTTCAATCTTGACATATGCATCAACAGCATATTGTTAAAAAGCTTCCTACCATAAAATATAGGGCTAAAGCTTTCTTTAACAGATAGCCTATAATTGTAGTACTGAGACAAAGTAACATGATTTCTAACACGTGTTGTTCTGTCTGGATTGTGCTCTAGTTGATCATGCCATCCTGCATCGCCTCTTGGAAAAAAAATTGGATATATCATTGGATCTAGATTAGCAGACATACTTGATATTTTTTCCAAGGCCTGACCTCGAGGGTGTATAACAACTTCTCTAGATGGAGGTGGAGCACCATCGTCTCCTACAAACACAATGGCAACTTCATCGTGTGAAGGTAGATTGTATCGACGCCTATCGCGACCTTCAAGCAATGGCATTTTGACAACTGAAGTTGGGCGACCTTCTAAAGCTGCTTGACGCATTTCTTCATCTTCAACTTGTGCCATATTTTTAAAAGCAAGAGCAAATGGATTCTGTTGACTAATTATAGTCTGTAAAAGTTCCATTAACTCCCGTATGCAACAATCATTTTGCTCCATTCGAAAATTTAAGGCAGTATTGGGATCATAAACATATAACTGACAATAAGATGGTGAAACATTTTGATCAGGTCTCAGATTACTAACACGGTGCATAATTTGTCCACAAATCCTAAAACATGGTGGGCCATGATTCGAGGGAGGAGCTATTCCAGCTTCAAATGAAGCAAAAGATAAACAGGCATTATAATTTCGAATGTGATTAAAGAAATTTTTATTTAAAGCACGATCAACATGGTTGCCTTTCATTAAATCCATCATTAGTGGTGGATAAGGTGAAAGCGGAGCTAACACAACTTTTCCTGAATGGCAGCACAAAAAATGTGTTTCATTTAAAAACTTTTTAGCACCACAATATTGACAAATATGGTTCATTTCTCCAAGGTAACTTCTCTCTATAATATTATTATTTCTTGCTATGCAATGCATTCCACACCTAAGTAATGCACGCCTAGCTTCATTTCTTTCATTTTGGCGACGATTAAGTTCTTCTCGCCTAGTCGCATTTCTTTCATTTTGGCGACGATTAAGTTCTTCTCGCCTAGTCGCATTTCTTTCATTTTGGCGACGATTAAGTTCTTCTCGCCTAGTCGCATTTCTTTCATTTTGGCGACGATTAAGTTCTTCTCGCTTAGTCACATTTCTTTCATTTTGGCGATGATTAAGTTCTTCTCGCCTAGTCGCATTTCTTTCATTTTGGCGACGATTAAGTTCTTCTCGCCTAGTCGCATTTCTTTCGTTTTGGCGACGATTAATTTCTTCTCGCCTAGCTATGTTTCTTTCATTTTGGCAAATTCTTCTAATTTCAGCTCTTAAGTTATTTGACATGATAAAGCAACTATGTTTAGTTTGATAAAACTTGATTTGTTTAATTTTTTGCTATACTTATCTAAAATGAACGAACATAATGAAAGACATAACAAACATAATGAAAGACAATTAATTTATCAATCTAAACTATGTATCTAAACATATCTACATCGTCGGCTCAGGATGCAATTGTCCTATCGCAAATTTATTAAAGTTATATATAAATATGTAATTATCTAATATATGTAAATTTAACATCATATATTAATCAAAAAAGTTTTTTTTTAAACGTTATATTAAATAATTAATTAAATAATTAATAATAAATTTGCAATACGCAATTGCATCGCGAGCATTACAATTTTAATAAATTTGCGATACGACAATTGCATCGCGAGCCAACCACATATCTATATATATCTATATATAACTTTATCTATCTATCTATATATATAGATATATATAGGCATACACTTAACTGGTTTAGAAAAGAAATATACATAGAAGCTGAGTTTAGGTTTAAATACTACATGTTGTATTGTAAGTAGTAAGACAAATAAAACATTTTTAAAAAAATAAGAAAAAAAATGATAGTAGTTTAAAAAAATTTATAACTGTATATAAAAAGATTAAAAACTATTTTGTAAATAAAAAAAAAAGACATGCCAACTTTTACAAACAAAAATTGATGAACGTCATATCAACCACATGTTGCCGATACCTTCAATAATTTAAATACTTTTTTTTAATATCTAAATGGAATAATATAGACATTGTATAGTGTATATATATATATATATATATATATATATATATATATATATATATTATATATATATATATATATATATATATATATATATATATATATATATATATATATATATATATATATATATATATATATATATATAGTTATAGAACAGTAAACTGTCTAGTATAAAGATATTGGTAAAATTCTTTTAAAAACTTAGATTATAAAATAATTATAAATTTTAAAATTCAGAAAAAGAAAAAATACTGGGAAAAGAAAAACACAGGAAAAGGTACCAAGTCGCAGTTTTTAGATTCGGAGGTATACGCGTTGCAACTACCTTTTTTATCTTTTTTCAAGCAGTTTTAATATTTAGTAATAGTTTTTTTTAAATAAATAATGAAAATTTACATTACCTTTATTGCTATGTTAGTTTACAAAGTTTTAAATTGTCAATTTTTTAAGTCTTTTTTAGTGTAATTTTATTTTAAAACACTTCCATGAAAAACTATGTAGAACTTTTAAAAATGATGCTATCAAGCTAATTTTTGTTTTATTTTGTGACTTATTCCTGACTCTATGCAACTGTATCAGTAACTCAGAAGATTGGTACTTTTTACTGTAAGGCACCCATATGTTAAATAAAAAAGTCATAAACGCCTTTATTGTTTAAAATCATTTCCAACATTGGCAAAATTTATCTTAGGAAGGGTAAAGAAAAACAACAGTGCTTATTGTAAAATTTTATTTTATTTATTCGTATAATTTGTATAATCAATTATAATTATACATAACACCCCCCCTTCCACCCCCCCTCCCATTTCTTCTTCTTCTCCCCCAACGAAAAGAGGGGAGATCTGCCCCATTATTTGAGGCCCATATCCTATGGGCCCTGTAGGATATGGGTCCTGGTTGACTCCTCCTGTAGGCTATAAAAGCCTCATATGACAAATCTAAAATGATAAAAGTAACAAAATGAATCTTATACAATATTAAAAAAACAAATTTGAATCTTATACATTATTATAAAAATAAAAAAGAAATTAAGAATTTAAAAAAATAAGAAAACATCACATTTGACAGTTACATAATAATAACACAGTATTCATACGAATGAAATACAAAACTAAAAATTAACTTACCAGCAGCAGCTGCACTTGTAGCAGATGATGAGGAAGATGCTGTTGTTGTTGTTGTTGTTGTTGTTGTTGTTGTTATTGTTGCTGATAAAGTATGAAAAAAATTAACTAAATAAAATATTAACAGTAACTAATAATTATTCTAGTTATAATATAAAAAAAGCTGTTTATTTACCAGGAGTTGTGGCAGCTGCTGCCATTGACAATGATGGTGTTTGGGCTATATATAATCAAAAAATCTATGATTTCATAATACATAAGAAACTTTACAATAAAAAAAGCTAAATTCTTTTATATGTTTAAATAAAACAATATGGTGATGTGTATACCACCACCATATGTATGCATATAATCAATTATTTTTTGGAAAGAACCAATTTATAAATTTATAAAGTTAAAGATATTTTCATACAGGATTGCACCTCCATCTTCTTTAAAAAATTATTAACTAAAGAGAAAAAACAATTTTATTAACATTTTCTATGTAAAGTGATATTTTAAAAAATTAAATAAAACATGAGTATTACAGTAACAAATAAAAAGTTTAATAATCAATACAATCTAAAATCTTACACATTTCTTCCATAGATTGCACTAAAATAACATGAGCTATTGATTATGACACAATCAAAAATAATTCAATCAAATTATAAACTTAATCAGTAATAAATTTAAAAAAAATTTAAAAATCAAAACTTACAAAACATTTGTTGAAAGTTCACTACAAAAAAAAAAATAATACTTATACTAATACATTTTATGTCTTTAAAAATTTTAAACAATAAATTTCAAGTAAATAGAAAACTAACTGTTATTAACAAAACATTGAATAAAAAATTGAGTTTTTTTACCTGATTGTGGTTGTTGTTGTACTAAAAAAATTAATACAGATTTAAAAAAAATACAATAGTAAAAAAAAAGAAAAAACAAATTATTAAGAACTTTTTAAAGAAAGATTTACATTCAATAAAACAAAAGGTTTTTTCTTACCATATTGTAATTGTTGTGTTTCTAGTTAAAATATAAAAAAAGATAAAAAGTAATAATTAAGTATTAGAAAAACAATTTGATATCAACAGCACAACAAATAAAAATAGGTTTTTTATAAAAAAAAGATTATTGAAAAACGTATAAAATTAATTTCTTACCAGGTTGTTGTTGCACTACAAATTAAAAAATGTGTAGTATTAAAAAATAAACACGCATAATTTTTTTTTTGTAATAGAAATCTTTTTTAAAATTTTTTTAAAAAGAGACTTTAAATACATTGGAATTTTTTTTTTACCTGATTGTAGTTGTTGTTGCGGTTCTAGAAAAAATATAAATACAGATTAAAAAAAATACATTAGTAAAGAAAAGAAAACGACAAAATGTTAGGAAATTTTAAAAAAAAAGATATAAATAAATTGAAACAAAAGGTTTCCTTCTTACCAGAATGTGGTTGTTGTTGAGCATCTGCTTAAAAAAAAAAAAACAGATTAAATAATTAAGTAAAAGAGAAAAAATATTATCAATGGCACAACAAATACAAAATAGGTTTTTTGTAGGTTTAAGGGGCTATAAAAAAGTATACTTACTTTGTTGTGGTTGCACCACTAAATAAAAATATGTTCAGTATTAAAAATAAAAAAAAAATACAGACAACTTAAAAAAATGTGGTTTAACTAAATGCAAAGAGTAAAGTATATGGAAAGCAAATAAACGAAAAAACTTAACAAATAAATAAAAACAAAATTGGCGACTTAATGAACAAACAAAGACGACTAAAATTGAATTACTGAACAAATAAAATAATAGCGACTTACTAAACATCAAATCATCATCTAAAGCTTCTAAAAATTTAAAAAGAGGTCAATAAGCAATTTAAAAAAAAAAATTAACTAAAGAAAAAAAAAAAAAATGCTACCTGACATGATTTATTTTCAAATTTATTAATCTAAAAAAATATCAAACAATGTAATAATCTAAAAATAATAATATGATAATGTTACTATCAATGTAATAAATCTAAATCCAAAAGTCAAGGATTAAAGAGATGTAAGAAAAAATTTGTAAAAAATTCTTTTTTTAAGCCTTAAATTTTATCTTTTTTTAAGTATTTAACTAAGCATTTAACTAAGCCTCATGGTGATTAAAACCGCGTGGATGAAAAACTCGATTGGCATTTTGTTCAAAAAACCTAGGTTGGCACTTTGTACCACAGCGATATTTATCATATACAAAAAAGCTGAATTTCTGTTTTTGTATATTTGATCAACAAAGTTTTTTCTCAAAAAGACTTGGAATATGTCAAGAAAGTTGGAAACTAAGTGTTAAAAGAAACAAAATTTTGAAATTTGTGAACGATTTTTTTTCTCTCGTTAGCGAAGTTGGTTCTGTGTCAAAATGCGAGGATCAAACTTTTGATTAATATTTTTACATATGTTGTCTATATACAATATCTATAAAACTTTATAAGTATTTGAATTTGTATTTAAAAAAGTCTAAAAAAAAATTAAAACAATAGTCGCTAACGGTAGGACTCGAACCACGGCAGCTATGTTTCGAAGCCCAGCGCGCTAACCACTCTACTACGCCGTCACGTAGTGTCTTAAAAAGGTCAAATTATATAAAAATTGTTTTTTAACGGATAAAACACAAAAGATTAGAAATTAAGCAAAGGTTGACGAAATGCAGTTCTTAAGTGAAAATCAAACTGTTGAACTTGATATATGTTTAAGCATGTTTTAACATTACATAACATGAAGTTTATGTACGTACAATATGAGTTTCACGTTTGCTCGCGTTTTCTTATAAGACTCTTTCTCGTCACTACCTCGGATGCAATGGTTGCCAAGAGTATCGTGTCAAACAGGCTCGAAAGCGCACTACTATTACTACTACTACTATTAAGTCCAGTATTATTATAAAGAGATTTCTTGATACTATTGAAACTTTTTTTGTACTATTTTTTCTACATTTTAAAGGTTATCAGCTCTTTTTGCAATAATTTTTTTTTGTAGTTTACATTTGGCAAGTTGTGCAATATAAAGTATTAAAATGCCTAAACTTTATAGACCATCATTTATCTCGAAAAACTCTAAACACTTAATTGATAAAGAAATTAGGATTTTTTTACTTTTTGGCATCAACAAATACTTAGTTTTATATTAGAAAATTATCAAAGAAGAAAAAATTAAAAAAAAACTGTTTTTAGTTACAACAAAAAGTTTTCAAGGCTATTGGGCCAAAAACAATCAAAGCTCTGGGAAAGCAGTAAAAAATAATTTTTAGATAAAAAAAAAAGCTTTTTCAAACTGTCAGAATAAAAAAATTTATTTATATTTATGTGTATTAAGTAAAAATGTGAAACTACAAAAGACCGGTTTTCCTAAGTTGGGGTAAATTGGACCAACAGTCCAAAAAGCTCCTTAAAAACCGTAAAAATTTAATTAAATTAAAGAAATAGAGCTTTTTTAAACTTTCAGCGTAAATAAGTTCATTTAAGTTTATAAGTATCAAGAAAATATGTAAAAATCTTACGGCTTGTTTGCCCCATTCAGAGCATTTGGCCCAAGAACTATCAAAGTTTTGTAAAAGCAATAAAAATTAAGTTTAGTCAAAGAAAAATAGATTTTTTAAACGATCAGAATGAACAAATTCATTTACATTTATAGATATCAAAAAAATACTTCAGGTCTTAATAACCAAATTAAGGCGATTGAGCTGGAAACAATTAAGGCTCTGTAAAAATAATAAAAACTAACTTTAGTAAAAGAACCAGTGCTTTTTCGTATTGTCAGAGTAAACAAGTTCATACAAATTTATAAAAAACCAAAATGTATATAAAAATCCCAGTGCTTGTTTGCCCCATTTGAGGCAATTGGGTCAAAGGCAATAAAATTTCTTTAAAAAACAAAAAAATAAACTTTAGTTAAAAAACGAGAGCTTTTTTATACTGTATGTATAAATAAATTTATATACATCTATAAAAATTCAAATTTTGCAGAGAAAAATATATTTTTAAACCATAGAAACGCAATGTCTTGCTTTGTCTGAACACAGTCTAAAACTTTCCATGTTCTAGGTCATTTTCAAATCAAAAACTTCAGAAATATCAAGCAGTTTTCTTTTAAATATGAAATTAGGTAGAAAAAATGTACCCATTTTGTTTGCATAAGTTATTAGTCTGATTGTTTCCCGGTTACCTGATTGACGACATTGTAGATACTTAACTCTTTTTTTAGCAATTATTTTTTCAGGAAATAATCAAACAGCATCCCAGTCTTATCCATAATTAAAATGTTTTGCGGTTTCTGAAGAAGGTTGTTTTCCGTTAATAAATTTTTAAAATTGGAAAAATATTTTGAAACTTTACAAACATTTGTACATTGATGTCTAATAGTTGCTGTACATTCTGGTGAACGTCAAGTTAAATCTTTGCTCCTTTTGTTGATCCCACGTCACCATTTTTCTGTAGGAGTTCCATACTTGAACCATTTTTGTTTTAAAACGAAAATTTTTTAGCACATCTTAGAAATTGCAATCGAACAAATCCGGTTTCCAAAACTGCACAATTATACGCAAAATCTTCATCTATAATAGTTGGACGTCTAAAATAGTTGGACGTCTAAAATAGTTGGACGTTTGGCTCTTATTTCTGTTACTTCTAAAAGTCAAACTTGTAACAAACATCTTATATTTTTAAAAACTTTACATGCTGCCTGCTCTAAAACTCCACTTTTAACAGCTTTAATTGCTGATATTATCGATTTATCATTCTATAAACGGTGTTTTCTGCCTTCCCTTCTCTGTATTTCAATTTTTGTTGAGTTTTCTATTTTTTTAATTTTTTTTTCCGTTCTAAAGTAAAGTGCAAAAGAACACCGTAAAAATATAATTATAAAATTATTTTTTTATGGTGTTATATTATCAAGTAATTTAAGTAATTTATTTATAAATATGTATACATATAAAACAGATTAATATCAAAAAAAGAAAAAGTAAACAAGCTGACATGAGAGATAATGAATGAATGATATAACATAACGTTTAACGAATAAAAAATGAATAAAAAATAAAGCAAAAAGATATGTTTAAATATTATGAGACAAAAAAGTATAAAATCACTTGAACAATAAACAACAGAAGTTAAATGCAGCAATAGTAAAAACAAATACCAACAACACTACAAAAAAAACAAAACAACAACTAAATGCACGACTATATAAACAATACACTTATGAACACGTAAATATTAACGATGCAGAAAATTACACGACAATTTATTATATAAAATTTATAAAAAATATTTTATATTATATAAAATATTAATTTTATATAGAAACATACAATAAAAAAAAAAAAGATTTATTGAACGATACGCATAATAAGCATAAATGCAAACACGGTTTTAACAATATTATATTATAATATTAGTAGCAATTTAAAAGATTTACAAACGCAAATTTTTTGGATGTGAGCAGGAAAACTTTAAAAATACCAAACATTGAGTTTTAAGAATATAAATTTTATCTTTTTAATTTATTAATTTTTAAAAAATGTTTTTAAAGCAGTTAACGAGTCAGTACACTTTAAGCAGTTAATGATATGTACTTTAAACATATTTATAAATTTTAAAGTCTAAATATTGTATTTTTACTTAAAAGCAATCAATACAACTCTGCATTAAAGATTTTTTTTTTAAACCAGCCAGAATATGAACGCAGATGAATATGAACGGTCAGTTTATCCTCAATAACTAGCTATGTAGGTTAAAGGGAGTACCATAATAACGTCAAGAAAAAAATTGAAAAATTAAAAAAAAGTGTTTTTATTCAAACTGTTAAGTTCAGATATTAAAAAAAAAAAAAACTAGTACAAAAATAAGTATCACATATTGTAATTTAATAAGATAAATAATTTTTTTTGATGTGCTAGAACCAAAACAAAAGCAGTTCAAAAGAGTATATGTACTTGTCAAAAAGGATTTAAAAAAACTTTGAAGAATAATTCCCACAGATCAATATATTTTTTTTTAGTTTAAAATAATTTCTGAAAAAGTTGCCGAAAAATTTGCCAATGTTTATATTATAAAATAGTCGCACGGAAAAAGTCACGTGACTGAAGTGCCAAGTATTTAGGGATATCACC